ATCCAACAATATTTCCTGATAAGACTCATGTTAACTAGTATCCACGTTATCCTACAGATCCTCAAATCCCCGAAATCCTCCAAATCCTCGACATCACTCCGAAATCCAAAAACCCTCTAAACCCTCTTATTCAACAATCCCTGAATATCTCCCCTAATTATTTTAATCCCCAGATGTTTTCTCCAAATCCTTTTGATCGATTGATATCTCTCTTAATCCTCCCAAATCTACAGATATCCCTTTTAATCCCTTTTTTGACTCTAAATCTTCTTAAAAATATCACAATTAGCCGTACAAAAGGAATATTAAATTAGTTAATAAAGGGAATAAGGAGATGCGAGTTAGGTAGTTTGTAGTTAAAAAGGGCCATTAGGCCATTCAAATGGAGGTGGCCATTCTATTTTTCATTGATTCAAAAATGTCATTCAATTGGAGGGGCCATTCAAATGGAGGGGCCATTCAATTGTAATAAATACGGTATATGTAAGGGGTAAATGTCCAGCTTGCAATCCACATGTCCGCAAAAGGTATTCTGCAAAAGCTGCAAAAAATGCATTTCTGCATTTTTTGCAGTCAACTCCTATGCCTCATGATCAATTTCCTTCAGGCAAACAAACGAAAGGGTGACAGTTGGCGCGAATAATAGAGTAAGAAAAATTAATTAAATTTTCATTAATATTTAAGTTTTATTATAGTTTTCAAAATTTAAATCAATGAACGTTATCCAATTGTTCAAACTAAAATTTTTAATTTAATAATATGTGTATTGAATTAAACTTAAATTTTGCAAACTATAAGTAATATGAAGCTTAAATATTAATAAAAATTTAATTCGATAATTTTTTACTCCTTTATTATTCGCGCCAAACTGTCAACCTATCATTTGATTATCTGAGGAAAATTACGGGAGAGAGGCAAATGAATGCAGAAAAAATGCAATTTTGCAGAATGCCTTTTCCGGACATATGGATTGCAGGCTGGATATTTACCCTTACATGTAGGTTCAAAATGGGGGAATGTAAAATTTTGAAAGCCCCAAAGCCTGAGCTACTGTTTTGAAATGCCCGAAGCCGTAGCCCAGGTTTTTCAATTCTAACGCCTCCGGCAACACCTCTAAAATCCGGTGAAACAAAGGTAAAAGGAAAGGATGGTAGGCGTGAGAAGGAAAAAAAGAGAAAGGTGAGACAGGTAAAAACATTTTTTGCTTTCTTTTCAAAGCGCTACATAAACTTTCTAGAATTTAAAATTAAATGATTACCGAAAAACATTTAGAGCTTCTTTAATATTATCTATCCATTCTCCTTAAAAATTTGATTAAAATATTTTTTAATTTACAACTTTTATCATTGGAAAAAGTATATGACAAGGGATTTTTCCACAAGTTGTTTGTGCCATATAGTATTTGTCGTTTTCGACGAGATTGTCCTTCGGCAGTTCCTTTGCAACCTTTAAATGAATAAATTATTTGATTATTCGATTTTACAAAAAACTATATTTTAAGATATACAAAATTTTTTAAAAGAAATGATCAAAATTTTTCAAACTGACAGAGTTAGGATTTACAGATTGCTTTTGAAGTTTTTTTGAAGAAAATAAAACTTCGTTCTCTTTTTCTTTTGCGCTCTATTTTTAAGCGTGCAAGTGATTCGACTCAACTCGTCGAGTTCTCCCAAATGAGCTATTATCTGGATTTTCGCTTTTTTGACCCCAAAAATTTTCAAATTTCGGGAATCTGTAACTCGGCCATATGAATTCGGATTTCGTTGATTTTTGTGTCCTTCGACTCAGCTCGACGTCTCGTTCGGATGATAACATTTGTATTTTCGAATTTTTCACGGCAAAATTGAGCTTGGTCCCACTATGGTTTTTCAATTCTCGGGGCCTATATCCTCCGAATTTTCGTTTCCGGCAAAAAATTCTCGCATATTTGAACAAAGCTCGGTGAGAGGAAGTAAATGTTATATACTTCGAGTTTTGATCTCATTGGGAATATACTAAAGCGACTCCATAGGTGTCAATTAGGAAGGATATTATTGGGATTTTCATTCTATATAGCTCATTTCCGCTTGCACTTTCTGCCTATTTTATGTATGTTGCTGTGTAGAAGGTCACAAATAAATTGAAACTTACATTCACGCTGGTTTTTTATCCTTAATGCTATGTCCTCTGGATGCGTCAAAATGTCACCAAAACCAAGATTAACAGAATTTTCACAACCGTAAACTAATCCGTTAGCATCTCGTGTCCCTAACATAGGTGTACCTTTTACGCTACGTTTATTTCTAGCTCCAGGAGGTATATTTAATCGGTCGTCAGTCTGAAATTTTATTTTTTGATGTTAATAATCTTATGTATGTTAACTATGGATGGTGGGCGAGGTTCTCTATCACCATCGCAAGGGCACTTTTTATACAATTCCAAAAGTTCATAGTAAGAATCCTTAAACTTTTTGTATTCCTCCAGTCCTAATTCATCACATTGAGTTGGTGGACGTTTATACTAAATATGTTTAAGAATTTATAATATAAAATCAGTTGTATTAATTATTTTGATGCAATTAAAAATTTGAGTTAAGACTAAACCTCCGAATAAATGTAATTGATCATCCAATATCCTCCGAATGAGAGGTTAAAAATGATACAAGTCATTTGGGTATTAACGCTATTTCTGCGGACTTTTTTTGCGGACTTTTCCTTTCCTTTAAATGTTTACTAACTGTCAATGGCCCTCCCCCTTATTATTTTTCTTACCTAAGATTGTACACAATGTTCAGATTTTATTCTTCCTCTCCTTCCTTCTATTTGCCCTTTGACATATTCAACAAGAGACATTGATAAAGAGAAGATTAATTTTATAGTCATACACTTATATTTTGCCTTAAAAAACAATGTTACACAAAAAAATAATTATATAAAATTGATTTGGTGTATAACATTATGCATTTCTGTAAAAACTTGAAATTTATTTATTGAAATTGAAATTTATTTATTTAAAACTTGAAATTTATTTATTAAAATTGTTTAAAAATACAAGTAAAAAAATAATTATTCTAGCACCAACATAAAAAAATTAAAAATGATTGAAAATTGAAAATTAAAAAAGGCAATCAACAGTGTGTGTGGGCAATCAACAAAGTGTTGATGACTAAATTTCTAAATTCAAAAAAATATTTTCTAACTAGATGGAGGATATAAATTTACAAATAAAGTAAAAATTAATTAGCTAGTTTTTTTATTTTAAATTTTATTAGTAAACTATTTAGTAGTTTAAAAATATTAGAGTATAACACAAACAAAAATTAAATTTATATATAAACAATTTTATTCAAAAATAAAGCCGACAATTTTATATTGAATAAAATTGTTGATTTGATCAAACTTATGTTAAATTTATTTATTAAATTCTTCATAATTTTCTTTATTTAATCAGCAGAGTAGACTAAATACTCAAGAATTCTCCCAATATCAATTTGTGAGCTAAAATTTCCAACTGAACTTTATTATTTTAAATGTATGTATGAGAGTAAATTAAAAAGTTTAGTCTCCAAATCATTTCAAAAATTGTCTTCTACAGAAAAACAAGTCAGAGCAACACATGGTTTATACGAGTCAGTTTTGTACTTTAATGATAATATACCTTTTCCATCAAAATAAAATATTTATAATTCAATATTGAATTAGATTTTACCAATTTTTTCCCATTAGTAGGAATTGTTGACATTTAGTGATATTTCACTTTTTAATTGGAAAATGGATAATAATTAATAAAGAAATTTTTCATTTTTGAGTTCCTGCGTTTTTTGCGTTGATTTTTGGCTTGTGTTGCGTTTTTTTAAATTTTTAATAATATCCATAAAATCATAAATAGAGCAATATTTTAATAAAGAAAGTATTTATTTAAAACACAAAATTGGTTATTTTAATTGAATTCATATCCTTTAATACAATGAAAAAAATATATATGTAAATCAAAATGTGTAAAATTAAAAAAACAAATCTTCAATAAAATTCTTTAAGAATTGAATGATTTGAAATATCATAATTAAATGGTTTGGTTTCCAAATTATTTCCGAAATTAGCTTCAACAGAACAACGTATCAGTTCAACAAATGGTTTGTATGAGTCGAAATTTTCCTTTAATAATATACCTTTACCTATAAAAATAAATTATTCTAAAATAATTTTTAATTAAATATTTACCAATTTGTTTTCCATTTTGTGTATAGAAAAAATAAGGAAATTCATTCATTTTATTGGTTGGAGGATAAACTAATCCACAACCAAAGATATCATTATTTTTCCAGGATGAGGTTGAAAGTTTAAATAATTCAGCTTTTTCGTTATAAATTTCGGCATAATTAGCAGAAAAACCAATCCAATCATTTGTATTATTTAGACCAATATGCATACATTTATACATATTTGAATTGTCTTCAAAATTACATTTAATTTCAAAATAATATAAAGAATAATTAAAACAATGTTTAGATTTTGTAAATGAATTTTGTGCATAAACACGAACATAGTGATCATAACCTTAAATGATCTCCAGTAAAATTTAAAAATTTTAAACAATTTACCACCTTTCCACTCAACACATTTAATATATTTAATATTTTCATCATTAATTATATTAACAAATCCATTTCCTTTAACACAATTACCAATAGGATTGTCTGTATTTATACATTTATTGTCACAACATTTCCATTGACTATCAATTTCTTTCCATTTATTTTTTATACCAACAAAATTCTTTTAAAAAATTAATAATTTTATATTTAATTAATAGGGATGGGAAAAAATGCACGCAAAATTGCCATATGAAAAATCGGGACAAAATACATTTGCATGTTTTTCCCATCCCTATTAATTACAAACTAACCACACATTTACAATACATATTATTCAATTTAATGGTTAAATCCCCAAACTTCTTCTCAAATAATTCATTTGTCTTTTTATAAAAAGTAAATTTTAATTAACTTTAAAAAATAATTTTTAAATATTTAAATTAAATAATTTAATATTTAATATTAAAAAAATTAATATTTTTACGGAGACGCCCGAATAGGCGCGTTCCGAACAGGCGCAACGAATAGGCGCCGGCAGAATAGGCGCGAGATCATATAGGCGCCAGCCGATAAAGGTTCTGTAATTAGGTGAAAAGGGTCTGGCGATAGTTGGAATAATGGTAAGCATAAATGGACCGCAAATGGGTGAAAAGGGTTTGGCGATGGTTGGAATAAAGGTAAGCAGAAATGGTCCCGTAAACGGGTAAAAAAGCTGGCAATGGTGGGAAAAAAGATTTGAGCAATAAACAAGTGAAAAGTATGCGTCGAATAACGTGAGAAAAGGGTACATCAATAAACAAGATAAAAGAGCCCGTCAATAGAAAAAAAATATAGTCGTTCAATAGGCTTGAGAAAACGCTCCCACAATGTGTGAAAAATGGTAATGACAGAGATAGAAGAGTCTGACAACGGTTAAGTGACAAGGTTTGTTAACTTATAATTAGTTGATAGTTAATAGTTGAAAATTATTATTTGAAAGTTGGTTAATAGTTAATAGTTGAAATTTGAAAGATGAAAACTTAGATAATAGTTGAATCATTGTTAATATTTAATAGTTGAAATTGATATTATAGTTGAAAGTTGAAAATCTTAGTTAATAGCTCAATCATTGTTAATAGTCGAAAATTGATAGTTAATAGTTGAAATAGATATTAATAGTTAAAAGGTGAAAATCTTAGTTAATAGTTGAATCATTGTTAATAGTTTAATTAGTGTTAATAGTTGACGAGTGAGGTTTTATGCATATGTTTTAATTTAAGTTTGTGTAATGTTTAGAATTTGGATAGCGGAAGGGGCTCGCCCGAAGGGCGACCCACTCCGTTAGTGTCAATAAAAATCGAATATTTATTTAGCTTCTAATATGCCTCATAATTCACAAAAAAATAGCGAAAAATATTCCCATAACGGCTTCCGTTATGTGAAAGATAAAGGAAGTCATGTTTGATATCCTGTAAAAAAGTTACAAGTCGTTAAGTGCAAGAAATCGTTGTTTTTCCCACTTATCGAGTTGTGATTTTATAATGAGTGATCAGACTTGATCTATTACTCATTGTTTTCTGTTATTCTGGTCGTTTTAATATTTTGTTTTGAAAATTGTTAATTTTTTGTTATATATAATGTATACTTATTTACTTTTACTACCCACCCCGAAATTTTGCCGTATATATTTTGTATATGGACAATTTATATGTCATTCGAAAGAGCTCGCCGAGCTGCATCGAAAGACACCAAAATCAACCCGCGGTTTCAAGTCTGAGCCGGGACAAATGGGCAGTTATTCCAGCAAGAATTTTGTTCCTCGTATTTTTTATCAAAATCATCAAAACAAGCTGATTTTTTTGGGCGGCGGATCATTGTGTACCGGCCGTTTGTGTACCTGGCCATATTTTGGGCCATAACTTTTTCAATTCTTGATTGATTTAAATAAATAATATATCAATTGAAAGCCCAGGATGTCAGGATTATTTTCGCCAACAGAATTGATTTGACCAGATCATCATACAAAAAGTTACAGACAGATAAAGATCAAAATCACGATTGAGCGCATTTATCGAGATATAACTTTTTAAAACATGAGCTGATCAAATCAATCCTGTTTGCAATAATCCTCACATCCAGGGCTTTCGATTGATATAATAATAATTTAAATTGGTTAAGAATCAAAAAAGTTATGGCCCAAAATATGGCCAGGTACACAAACGGCCGGTACACAAGTGGGACGTTCCGGATTTTTTTACCATTCAACTCAGCTCGTCGAGCTCTTTCGATTTACATATATATTGTCAAAATCTAATTGAAAAATCCCCCACCAAAATTTTGGGGTGGGTAGTTAAAGTACTTATAAATAAGTTCCTAAATCTGTTTTATTTTTTTTGCTAATCGATTATAACTAGAATATTTAATTAAAAAGCTTGGCGCATATATGGCCGCGCACCTATTCGGCATGCGCTTTTTCGGTCGAGCCTATTTGGGCTGTACCCTTAGGCTGTGCCTCAAAAAGGCCCATACTTTAAAAAGCTCACCCTTAAAACGGCCCCCTGAACAAAAACCCATAAAACGGCCACATTAACAAAAAGCATTGACCGGATTGAGGGTTTTGCTCAGGGGGGGGGGGGGGAGCAGGCCAAGGTACCGCGAGCCCAAGGTACCGCCGAGCTATAACTTTTTTCAAAATTGTCGAATCCGGGACGCTCTGGTATGGTTCGATTCAGCTCGTCGAGACGCATCGAACCATACCACGGCGTCCCGGATTCGACATTTTTGAACAAAGTTATAGCTCGGCGGTACCTTGGCCTTGCGGTACCTTGGGGTGTACCCGCTCAGGGGGCCGTTTTGAGTGTGGGCCGTTTTACGGGCGCACCGTACCCATATTTTTAAATAAAAGCTAATGCTGGGTATTGGACGTTTTGTAGCTCCAAAATTTAAAATCTTAGCTTTGGCTTTGTTAGTTTTATTTAATTTTAGTAAACACCAAAGGGTATATTGTTTTAGGGTTCCCCTTTTATATTATTTATTTTTTCACTTTTATTTCCGCCTTTAACAAATAATGTCAAACTAAATTACCTTTTTAATTTCTTCCTCCAAGGAATTAATTTTCTCATCTTTTATATCATTTATGGCTTTTAATTGTTGAATATCATGTTTTAAACTTTTAATTTCTTTTTCATGTTCAGAAATTAGTTTTAAAATTTTATTTTCATTGTCAGAATTTGTTTGTTGAATTTTCTAAAATTAATAAAATATTCAAAAAACTTAAAATTCTATTAATTTCTTTTAATTTATTTTCAAGAAAAAAATTTTTTTAATTAAGCTTTGAATATTCAAAGCTATTAAAAAGAAGTGTAGATAAATTGAATATCTCTTAACTTAAACTATGACGAATTAGATGAAGTTTTGGGTGAAGTTTTTTTAATTTTATTAAAACTTACAGCCAGATTTCGTGTAGTCATATTACTTGAACCTTGTGCAAACTCATCCCCAGACTCGTCAAAACTATCACATGCTTCTTCGATATAAAGTTTCTTAATATCAGATAAAATAGCAGGAACTCGGCAATAGGGGCAAGTTTTTGACTAAAAATGTTAAAAATAAAATTTGAAAAAATTTCTTTGATGAATTTTGAATATTTTATGGTAATAAATTATTTAGAAGTCAAAAGACTAAAGACAAATAGTACAGTTGGACCTGGCTAGTCACCTAATCTATTATAATTAGTGTTCGGCACGGTACGGTATACCGCGGTATTTTTCCCGGTATACCGATACCGAAACCGTACCGGTCAAATTTTGAAAAAACGGTATTTTTCGGTATCGGTATTTTTTCGGTATACCGATACCGAATACTGGAAAAGATCATTTGCCGAACACTAATCATAATTTAAAAAATAAATTTACTCACCCCTTCAGAAATCCAGCGAGTAACACATTCGTGATGGAATGTATGATTACATTTCAAAGTATAAACATTGTCAGAACGCAAACAAGAATGGCAAATAGTACATTTACTAACTCGGAAAAGACCCATTTTTTAGACTTGGATTAAATTTAAATGTATATTTTTTGGATTTAATGAGAATATAGCTAAATATTAATTAAAAATTTCCAAAATAAAAGGTAGAAGTTTAAATTTCCAATAATGGAACTTTACAGGGAGAATTTAATTTTAAAAATTTTGTTGTTAAATCGTTGAATGGGAAAATGAATATGATGAAAAGAAAATTCTTATTCTTTTTTACTCGACCTGGAAAAGAAGAACTAATCAAAAATGAAAGTAATTTACAGGGTGCGGCAAAAGTTCCCGTACTTTTATTAAGCATAGAATTTATTTCAAATATTTTTTTTAATTTTATAAAATCTATGAAAATGTGTTCATTAATATCTAAAGAAAAGAAAAACTATGAAAAATATCCAAAATATCCTTCCTCCGCCAAGATATACGCGTCCAAACGCTTGCTGAATTTGGCCACTATGGTCACACACTCATCCACAAAAATCCTGGAAACAACTCTTCGCCTCTGCGAAGAGTTGTTTCCAGGATTTTGGGGCAAAGCCATTTAGCTAAGTAACTCCCCAGATCTGAATGCTATGGACACGTAGTTTGGCAAATATTGGAGCAGAGACTTCCATGGATACGATTTATATCAAAAACTGCAATTAAAAGAGATGGCAACTGGTCTGGGACTCAATTACTGTGGTTAAGTGCGCGACCATATTGGGAAACTACAGTTAGCGTTTAGACGCGCATATCTTGGCGGAGGGAGGATATTTTGGATATTTTTCATAGTTTTTCTTTTCTTTAGATATTAATCAATACATTTTCATAGATTTTATAAAATTTAAAAAAATATTTGAAAGAAATTTTAAGCTTGACAAAAGTACGGGAACTTTTGCCGCACCCTGTAAATAAAGATAATTTTAAATAGGTAGATGGAACAATAAAAATTAGGCTCCTCCCCCTCATTCTATCTCCTTTTGGTAAAAAATTTAAATAAAAAAAGAGAAAGGTCAAATCCATATCTATTTCTTTTTCAACTTTAAATTCTAATAAAAAATACAGATCTTTTATTTTTTTCTTTTTTAATGTAAGTAATTACATAATTAAATAAAATAAACAAAATTTAAAAGATGGGACCAAAAATTTTTTCAAGTTTATCAGAAAAATATATTTAAAAATTATAAATTAAATTGATAAAAAGTGAATAAAAAAATTTCAATAAAATTCTTTAAGAATCAAATGTTTTGAAATGTCATATTCAAATGGTATTAACTCCAAATTATTTCCAAAATTTGTGTCGACAGAACAACAATCCAAATCAACACTTGATTTAAATGAGTCAAAACTCTCCTTTAACAATATACCTTTACCTTAAAAAATAAGGTTGTTTTAGTAAGAATATTCGCCTTTACTAGAAATAAGGGCAAAAGAAAATGCAAGGAGATAACAGATAAGTACTCAATTTTTAATTAAATATTTACCAATTTGTTTTCCATTTTGAGTGAAGAACACATAAGGAAATTCTTCCTTTAATTTATCAGTTGGAGGATAAACTAATCCACAACCAAAAATATCATTATTATTGAAATAAAGTTTTGGAAGTTGAAATTGAACTTTTTTCTCATTATAAAATGTAGCATGATTTGCAGAATAAATAATATGTTTGTTTGTATTTAAATTTTTAATACCAATATTCATCCATTTAACATTATTTAACTCTCCTTCAAATTTACATTTAACTTCAAAATAATATAAAGAATAATTAGAACAGCTTTGTGGTTTGTTAAATGGATTTTCTGCAGAAACTACGACAT